TTGGAAATATATTCTCAAGATTTGCATCGGTGCTATTAAATTTATTTTGACTTGATTAATATGATCAAGAGAAATTTGGAGGCCTCCGTGATTTTGATAAAAATGATTTTTATATATTTATTTATTAAATATATTATTTTATTACGTTGTCAAACGGAAAATAATCAAGGGTGGCTATTATTATCCGATAGCCAAATTAAGCATAGAGGGGTCATTACGCAAATTGACATCGTGGAAATCACCATTCTAAATGGAGAGCAATTAATTCACTATAGTGGTATTCGAATTACTTAATGGGCTAGTTGAATTAGGTTAAGAGAGGTTAACCGGGTCAATTATTAGTTCATTGAAGCCATGGAGAAAGTGAGCCCAAAAGATCCTTACCTATACCCCCATTCAAGCTCATCAGAAAAGTAAAAGACAAATGAATTGTAATGGATGATAGAAGCATCCCATGTGCTTAGTTGGATTGATACAACCACTCTTGGTTGGTTGTAGGAGTTGATTTTTCCACTCCAAGAAACCAATATAAAAAAGAGTTGTACAGAAATTTATATGCAATGTGATGACCAATACGTAAGGCATTTTGTAGAGAGAGAAAGTGTAAGACAAAACCTATAGATATACTCTCTCTATATCCATCTCCACTACCACTTCATCTCTAGGGTTTCTTTTACATCTCTTGATCCCACCACCAATGGCTTGAGGGGAATTCATTGAAGAGGTCATATGGGTGATTCTTAAAGGCAATTTCCACCATTAAAGGCTTGGATTAAATGTTTTAAGGAGACAAAGAGAATTCTCTTGGAATCTACAATTGTGCACATGGATGATGTCATCGCTTACCTCACATGAGCTCTAGAATTTTTTTAGGAAATGCTAGATGATATGTGAAAGCTCTTATCCATGGCTATTGTTTTATTGTCTTCTACATTAATATTTTATATTCATCATGCATAGATCCGTGAATATATTTAATGGTTTAATTTAATTCATTAAATTATGAGAAAGACTTGGGCATTGACTTCTAAATTAGCACGATTCTACGATCCTAGACCTCCAAAACGAGTAAAATCGCATGTAAATACTCCTTTGGGTAGAATCGTAAGATTCTACTGATTCTATACGATTTTACCGTGTGCCTTGTTTGGCCCTGTTTTTTGGGGCTAATACACTGTTTTGATGGGTTGAACTCTTTTAATAAGAAAGCCCAACGATCTTGAGGCCCAAAACATTAAAGATAAAAATGGAAAAAATAATAATAATAAAGCACAAAACACTTGAGCCCTATTTCAGAATTTCAGACAGCTGCTCTTTGATATAAAGCCTTCTCAGTTCCCACGAATTGCTTTGACACTCGACACACTCCAAATTCAGCTGCTCTTCAACATCAAGCCTTTATTTGGTTTCTTGTTCAGTTGTTCCTAATTGATTTATGCATGGGTATTTCTTGTTCAGTTGTACCTTATTTTGTTAATCTGTTCTGTTTCTGTTTTTGGATATATATTTGTTAATTTTGTTCAGTGTATAATGTTTATGTTCATAATAATTCAGTAATGCATGTAGTCAGTAGCATTATACATAAAGTAGGAATTCTTTATAAGTAGCAATTCTTTTTTTGATAAGTAACATCTAATAAGTTATAATTCATATATAATTGAATTGATATTAAAAGTTTGAAACTTAATTAGTTGAATTATTTGGATATATTAGTAGCACTACATTCTCTTATATATTATATTTGGAGTGGCTCTTTTATACAATTTTTTGGGTTTTGGACTTATTCTTGCTATATTTTAGTCATACAGGTTAGTTTGAAACTTTTTTCTACTAGTTTGGTAGAATCTTACGATTCCGATTCTACGGAGCCCGCAACGATCCTACGTAGAATCCGGATTTTAACAACCTTGGTATTTTCATCAAACCCAATTGATCTACACATGAACACATCTACGGTGTTTAAACATGCTTCCACTTAATTTTAAAAAGGCCATTTCCCAACAAACGAAGGCCATGGAGTTTTGTGTTGTAAGCCCCGCTCCCACTCGATATTTACAAATTCCGGTTCTAGAGTTTTTTTATTTAAACTACATTCATAATACATGCAACAATGATTTAATCTAATCCCCATTAAATTTAGACATCATTGGGGCTTGCCACGACTTTTAATAATAAATTAGAGCCGATTTTCAAAAATAATTTTGAAAAGAGTGCATTTGTCATTTCCCAAAACCTCCAATTTAATTTAAAGGTCAATGCCCAAGTCTTCTTCATAATTTAATGAATTAAATTAAACCATTAAATATATTCATCGATATAAAATATTAATTCCTTACATTCACATGAATATAAGTAGAAGACAATACAACAATAGCCATGGCCCATGGATAAAGAGCTTTCACATATCATCTAGAATTTCCCAGAAAATTCTAAAGCCCATGTGAGGTAAGCGATGACATCATCCATATGCACAATTATAGATCCCAAGATAATACTTTTTGTCCCTTCAAAACATTTAATCCAAGCCTCCAATGGTGGAACTTCAAGATCGAAGCCTCCAATGGTAGAAATTGCCTTTAAGAATCACCCATACGACTTCTTCAATGAATTCCTCCCAAGCCATTGATGGTGGGATCAAGAGATGTAAAAGAACCCCTAGTGATGAAGTGATAGTGGAAATAGATATAAAGTATATGTACAGGTTTTGCACTACACTTTCTCACAATACGAAATGCCTTGCGTATTGGCCTTCACATTGTATATAGATTTTTCTACAACTACTCTTTTATATTGGTTTCTTGGAGTGAAAAAATCAGCTCCTAAAACCAACCAAGAGTGGTTGTATCAATCCAACGAAGCACATGGGGGTGCTCCTATCATCCACTACAATTCATTTGTCTTTTACCTTTCTCATGGGCTTGAATTCATTAGTGGGGCTATGGGTGAGGATCTTTTGGGCTCACTTTCTTCATGGCTCCAATGGACTAATAATTGACCCAGTCAACCTCTTTTGACCCTTTTTTTAATCCTAAGCTAGGCGTTCTACCAACTAGGTTACTCTGTAATGCCCAATTCAATTGACCTATTAATTAATTCGAACACCACTATATAGAATTAACCACCTCCCTCATTGTTAGATGGCGGTTATGGCGTGTAGTGTTTTCTTCGTTTAGAGTAATCTGGGCTATGCCCTGGACTGTGAGAGATCTTCTAGGTTGCTGGAGTGGTGGCTGTGTTAGTTAAAGATTTCAGCATGCTTGGCATGTTGCACCTTTATGTCTCAAGAGGAGGATGTGGTAGAAACAAAAAAGCATTCTTTTAAGGATGTGAAGAGGCCCATTTATAGGATCATTGAGATGATGTTAAGCACTTCATCTCTGTGTTCATTTGAAGATTAAAATGAAGTGTCAATTTGAACATACCTCAAGTACTCAAATGAAAAGTTTTGTAGATTTAAATTGTGAAATCAGTACATAAGGAAAAACAAAGTATACTTTTCATATATATAAAGTTTGAAAACATTAAAGAGTGAAGAAAAGAGTCCAAATAGGGTGATTGAGTCTTTTTTTTTTTTTTTTTTTGATAAGGAGTAAATAAAAAGACGTTCAAAAGGGGAACGTATCCCAATTACAGAAATGGAACCGGGGACTAAGGCCCCAAAGAATCCAAGAAAATAATTAAATCATTGGAAGAGGAGCAAGAACTCCTCTTGACATAAACGTCCTATTTTGATTCTTATGCTCGTAATACCACAGAGGTCAAGAAATAAATCGCAGAACCTTAGCAAAATCACCAAAGCAAACTCCGATAGACTAACAACATTGTTTTAGCAACATAAAGCCCACGAAAAGTTGGATATAACTTCCAACATATGTGTGAAAGCCTAATCCTTATGTATGATTCTTATCTACTATGGAACACATGGACTCCAATTTAACATATGACGGACATGCCATTAGTAGACATTCTTAAAAGAAGAAGACAAAAAATCAATACACAACAGTTACAGATATAAAAAAATTATCCTGCTAGTTCTTCCACTCCTCGATCAAGACCCCATTTTATCTCAATATTTATATCATCTACCAACTATTAATTCCCTACATTAGAATGAGAACCACAGTGTCGATGGCAAGTCCAACTACATCCGCCAATTGCTGGCCATGTTTCTGAAATTGAGAACCTTAGTTCAAATTTTGGACATATCAAAGTGTTTGTGCCATTTAAAAACCAATGCAAGCAATGGTAACATAGAGTCAAACACAACAATCTAGACAGAATGGTTGCTCTGGCTGAATGATCTTAAGAGAATGTTTTTGAGACAAACCAGCTATAATTGCCATACGGCCTTCAAAGTTATCCTTCACACAACTGGTCCCTAGCCTGAAGAGGGGAAAGTTACACAAGGCAGACTCAAACTGTGGCGCAATTAAGAAATTATTCTCAATAATGGACACATCACATATTTAAAAAATCTGTTAGAAGATAAAATGCCTAACATCATGGATGGAACCAGCATTGGCCCAGTGCCCCCTCCCCAGAGGGCCCATGCTGGTCCACTGATTTATGTAAATAGAAGAAATCAATACGAGGTCAATAAGGTTTCCGGATGGCCTCAAATTTAAACAAGCAGCTATGGCTTGGCTGGCTTTTGGACAAGTGATCATAATATTTTTCCAAGCGTACAAATCCATGATTGATGTTTCTAAATGTAACCCTCGCCCCATGCATACCTCACCCATAGAAAAATGTTTCAAACCATGTATAAAACTCAACCTTCACCGCTCCTGCATGATTGCACCCTTCCAGTGCTTATTTATAAAACAATACACCTTAGTTATAAACAAAATCATGTATCACAATTAAATTGTATACTCAAATACAAGAAAAATAATATGAATGCAAGATAATACAGACAAATTCATGTATCACAGTTAAACAACCTCACACGTGAAACAACGTTATTTCAAACGAAAGTTTGAGTGCAAGAATCATCTCACCTCCATCCCACGGTGTATCATCAGGACTGCAATCCACACCAGAAAAGAAACCAGAAAATGGCTTATCCAACTATACTTCCACATACTATGGAAACAAAAATAAATAAACAAATAAACACAATATACCACAGAAATTCCTTCTTATGTACTTTAATCCAATTCTTACCCAAATATAACAGCATTCCAGAGCATTATATTGTTGTCTTGGGGTGCCCCGCTTATTCCCGCAGGAGGGTCTTGCTGCAACCGCTTGAAATCCCTCATCAGCCTCTTCCTTGAAGGAGTCGACATTGTTATTACCTGAATACTCCAAAAATAACACAAATGCAAACTGAAACAGTCTTCCAACCACCACTAAATTAAGCTACGAAAAAATTAAAAGAGACAACTAAAAAAAAAAAAAAGCAATACTTGATCATTATACAATCAAAAGCGTGTGAATTGTCTAATAAAATTAGGATCTTGTCTCAATTAAGCACTTGAAATGGTTGTATATCAAGCCAAATTCTTAGTAATTGTACCAGAAAAAAGATAAAATAGGGGGAACAAAAAAGAAAAGAGGTAACTTGAAATAACAATGATTCAGTAACATGGAAAGTACAATCAGGGTTTTGTTCATATTTCAGCATTTGTGCAGTTAAGTCCGCATTCATGTTACTGGTCAAGAAACTAGGGCAAACAGAATAAATAAATAAGTGGTTTTCATCTAATTCAGCACATGTACAGCTCTATATCAGCCCAAAATCACGCTAATAGAAACAAAAACCTCTCTCTATTGATAGGAGCTGAGGGTACCTTGATTTCCTCAACAAGCGGAGGAAAATTCAAGTGTGAATACAAGCCAAACAGAGCATAAAATTAGGGTTTTGTTCCCACCATCACAAAGATTAGGTCATTTCTCTATTTATCAAGATCTATCTTCAGAGACAAAGCTAGATATACATACATACATATATAATTATATATATACACAAATGAAAATCCATTTTACCTGTAAGCAGTTGGGATGGGAAACTTGTTGAATTATGGATAGATTCAGATTGAAAGCCCTAGAGAGTTTTAGAGAGAGAGAAAAATGGAGTTTGTATTTTATTGGGAGCAAGTGGTTGGATTGTTGTGTCTCGAGACCTGTCCCCACTCTCTGTCTCTCCTCTCTCCTCTCTCCTCACCGGCGCTGCATTCTGTTGTAGCTTAACTGACACACGTAACTAACATCCCTGTTTAGAATTGTACTTTATTTTTATTTTTTAATAAGTATTTAGAATTGTACTTACTCCACCAAAAAAAATATATACATATAGGATTGTACTTTCTATCACAGTTAATACTAACATATGAGTCTTATAATTTCATATTATAATTAATAATTAGTCTTGCTTATTTTATTTTTATTTTTATTTTTGTTTTATTTTTTCATTTAAGTTTTAAATTACTATTTTTTTCATTCATATTCTTGCTAAATAGAAGTAAAATTTTGTAATTTTAAATTTATTTAAGTTTTAGTTAATTGACTAATATTGCATTAATAGTAATTAGTTTAATTAAATATTCAATTCAAAAAAAGAGTAGTATAGAGAAACCAAACAAAAATTCCGGAATGGGCACCAACCAAATTTGACTGTCTTTGACACGCTATTAATTTAAAAAGGACATATATATTCTCAATATTCAACCTTGTCTTCAATATAAGGTTCTTTACTTTATCTCTGGCTCCATTCTCTTCCCTAATTTTTTTTTTATTTTTTTTATTTTCTATATCTAAAATTGGGTCTGAAATTCACTTCTCTCTCTCTAAAAATTTACTTAAATTTTATTCATTTTCTTTCTCTCTCGAAATTTACTCGACCTCTCTTTCTCTCTCTCTTTTGAAAAGATTAGAGTCAAATTTCAACCTACTAATTCAAAATTAAGCTATGCATAATGTTCAAATCGAAGTAATAGATCTTGAACTTAAATGGAGTAAAAGTGGATCAAACTAAGGTTTCGAAATTGGCCCTAGTAAAGTCGTGGAGATGGAAACTGCCATATTTAAAAATATGTATATACATGTATAAACCTACAATGATGGTGATGGTGACGGTGACGGTGATGGCAATGTTAAGAACAGAAACCCAACATTCTCTTTTCACGATATTTAATCAATATTTTTTGGCCTTGAATATTGTTATGTAACATAAGAAAGAGAATATTTTATACACTAGGTTGTTTAATACAAGTAGAATGTTGAATGAGTTTTAAGTAGCAAAACCACGTTGGATTAGGATTACCATTCGGTGTTCTTATCATTTTCCTTTAAAAATTTTTGTGCAGAATTCATGATGACTTTGACACTATATATATTAGTGTCAAAGTCATCCTGAATTCTGCACATATATATATATATATTTAGTGTCAAAGTCATCCTGAATTCTGCACAAAATTTTTTAAAGGAAAATGATAAGAACACCAAATGATATATATATATATATATATATATATATATATATATATATATATATTCTACAAGATAATTTTCATTAAATATAAAATATTAAATTTTCAACTAACTGAGATAATAAAATAGTATTATAAGCTAAAATCATAAAATCACACTCTTATTTTTTAAAATTACCAACTAATCCCCTCAACTAAAGAAACTATCATAATACCCCTTGATATTTTAAAAAGTATATCGTATCACCCCCTCCCTGTTAGTTTTACGTCTGAAATTAACGGGATCGTATCATGTGTAACAGTTGCATCATTTTGCTAACCAAAATAACCTTATAATTCGTAATGACGGAATTACCCTTCTCACACTATAATTTCAATTTAATAAAATATTAATATACTATCAAGGACATTATCGTCATTTCGTAACAATTTAACAGTTCCGTCATGAAAGGGGGGTAACTTGATAGTTTTCGTTAGTTCAAGGGGTGGTTAAGAGCAATAAAAATCTTTCAAAAATATTTATTTAGTGAAGTATTTTTCAAAATTTACGATACATAAAATGTTTGGAACTTATTTTATACGGTTCAATTAAAAAAACACAATTATTATTACTCTAAGGGATTGGCTCAAGTGGATAAGAATTTGACCCTAGTACTTCAAAAAGTATCAAGTCTAAAGTTCAAATCATCTTAAGTGCTGCAACACAATTTCTTAAGTGGAGTGTATGAGTATGGACTGTGAAAAAAAAAAAAAAAAAAAAAAAAAAAAAAAAAAAAACATTATTTATTAGGTTTGAAATTTGAATGGTAAAGTATTTTTATTCATGTATATGTAATGGTATTTTTAATAAAAATATTTTATAATTAAAGTGGTAAACAATTTTAAAAGTGGTTGTTTCAATAATTTTACTTTTTCCTTTAATTATACTGTATATATTTTTTGGCAAATTAGTAGAAGGGAGATTTGAACATGAACACATTGTAACTAGAAGAGCTGGACGTTCTACCAACTAAACCCTTTCCTTAAAAAAGTGAGGTTCAATTACTAATTTGGGCTTACATTATTATGAAACATTTTTTATTTATTTTTAATCATCCTAGGAAGTTAGGGGAAAGGAAAACTTAAACACGAACGCATCCAATGATCAAAGGACCGCATCGACTGTGACTTGACTCACCCAATGGTCCTCTACAACTGCATATGGACACATTAGATAAAGAAAGGAATAAAACAGTACTGCAAATGACAAAATACTACATCTAACTTTATTCTTTCGAACAAGTATAGCAATACAACAAAGTGGTAAGTAGGGTTTCCAATTTGGGGTGGATTTCCAATGGGCAAGTTGGGCTAAAGTGTGAATCAGTTCATTGAAAACCACAATTAACTAATAAGTGGCGGATTAGGCTTTGATCTTACATTGTGTTTGGGATCGAGGATATTTCATAAGATTTGAATTTTAAATAGAATATCACTTGTTTGGAATGATAGGATTTTAAAAGGGAATGGGATTTGAAGGGATTCCAAAGGATATTTTGTAATCCCATATTTTCTTTTTCGTTTTCGGATCGCGTTATGTGGTATTTGCCTTGAGAGCTTAAGGTTTTGTTTAGTTAGGAAGAAACAAATGCGAGAAAGTGAAAGTATATAAGAAAAGTATAATATTTTCTTTTTATCCAAACTCTTAAAAGATTTTCAATTTCTCTTTTATTGTACATTTTCATATCATTTTCATCTAATCAAACAAAACTTAAATGAATTTAACTTTTTTGCTACCCTAACTCCAAGATTCTTAATTCTAAAGAGATAATTTAATGGTAAAAACTCTTATTACAAAATTTGAAAATAAAATATTCGAAGGGACCGTATATGTGAGACGGTGAATTTGCCTGGCACCACCATCATCTCTCGGGGGAATAAAACAAAAAAAAATTGAAGATTCTTTAATTGATTTTGAAGTATACAATAATTGAAATGAAGGCATGACCCAATAAAGTTAAACTTGGCCCACAGTGGATAAACCAAAAGCAATTCAAGAAATAATTAAAATAACATTGCCCAATTGTCCATGGCTTTGTCTATAGGTGGGCCCAACATAACATGTCGGTAGCTTTTCGTAAACTAGATACTCTGTCTCTCCTGTATACAGTAGTTCATTTTTCTCTTTTAAAATGTTCCAAATTAAATATTCACTTTGAAAAGTCAAACAAAATAAATATCATTTTTTCATAATTATCCTTTTAACTTATTAAAAATCTTACAACTTGAAGTTATATACATTTAAAGTTTGAAGGAAAACTTAATAATTTAAAATGGGGACAATTCATTAATTGCATATCCCCTTAAAAAGTTATAAAAACCAAAGATGAACAACTAATAAGGGACTGATGGAGTACTTTCCAAGAATACTAACGGGTTCACGACTATCACGACTTTTAAAACGCTTTGTGTAATAAAAAGATAATGAATTTACATATAACACTTCACTCTTTCACACCCAAACAGGAATTGTGAGCACACATAACTCACACCAGATCCTTACCTCTTACTGTTAGAGTGTTTTTCAAGTTCATCATAGTGCTTTATTTGAGGTGGAGAAATCTTCAGTTGAGGTAGAGTTATAAAGATATTCTTATTCGAGGTGGAGTTATGGAGAAACACACGAAGATTGAATTTTGAGCCAAGGTGGAAGTTGTTGGGTTTGTTGCTCAAAATTTGTTTGTCGAAAATTAGTTTTCTTTTTTCGTTTTGGAAGGTTGAGATTTATAGAAGAAAATATATCCCATTATGTTTCTAATTTGGAGTTTTGATCATTACGGTAACTTTTTGTAGGCAAGTTGAAAAATACATGTCCAACAAGAAATTGAGTTTGATGACTCTATAAATATAGATGGGTATGAGAGGTTTAAAGAGAGAAGAGAGAAGAGATGTAAAGATGTAAAGGGCTTAAGGATGAGTGTTGTGAGCAGATGGGAGAGTATATGTAATTTACGAGTGTATACATGTAGCCTCAAAAGAGACGATGAGTGAGTGAGTGAGTGGGGTTTTGATATGTGGTTGTATATTTTCTTCCTTAATTCATAATAGTGAAATCTCTCTCTTCCATAGACGTAACCCTAGAGTTAGGTAAACCATGTAAAATATTGTGATGTGTGTGGATATGTGTGATTGTTATCTCCATATATGTTTGTGTTGATGTGATGTGATGATACTTCCGCTGTGTGTGATGAATGAGGAATTTAACTCTCAACAACAGCCGACCGTTGAGTGGGTTGAAGGAAGTTAATTTTCCCCAACAATTACAATGGTATCAGAGCTTAACCAGCCGGAAGTGTGCCAACGTGGAATTATAAGACTCGGTGGGCGGGAGCAAGCCTGTGAAAGACAAGACTCTGGTGCGAGCTACATGTGCTCACAATTCCCATATCGTCTAGATGTGGAAGAGTAAAGTATTTTTGTAGACTCATCACCCTTCTATGACACAATATGTTTTAAAGTTGTGATAATCGTGAACTTATCAAAATTCTAAAATTAAGTGTACTTAACTTAGAATAGTACCAAAAGAAGAGAATATTATGTCTCTTACTTTAATAGCGTTACCATGCACAATTCAAGGTATAAAACTAAATTAAAAACACAAATCATCTCCTTCATTCTTGTATCAACACTTCCTCAAGAAAATCCAGAATGTCTCAAAATACTTCAGTAATGACAACTATAGAATATTGGATTTAGCTTTTGAGAACTATCATAAGTGTGAGTGCATATTTATTTAATTACTCTAACAACATATTTGGTGCAAGTCAACTCTTTGACGTAGGACTATATTCTAAATGACACTTTCTTATGTTTTAAAATAAAAGGCCAGGAATTAAAGTTTCGATAGAAATGGAGTTCATGAATTTCTTGCAAATATATTAAAAAAAAAAAAAAAATCCTTTCTAAGTACGTACAAAACTGAATGGTTATATACATATAACTTGGTTTATGTTTTATGTATTTCTCGCACACACTTGGATTAGATTTAATCCTTTACAAGCTTATGATTATTTTGACTTGGACAAAAAATTAAAATAAAATATCATATAGATGTTAAGCATGAGAGGATACTAGCTAGAAAGTGTAGCCAATAGTACTCATAGATGAAGAATTATGACTTTGTTGTTAACCCTAAACTAGAGTTAAAGTAAAATATATTTTTATTTAAAAAATAAACAAAGGGTTCATTAGCTTGTCCAATGACAAAGTACTCATCGTTGAATTACTTCAAAATTTAATCTTTTTTTATATTACAAGTATAGTGGTGATATACTATTATAATTAATCTTGTTATTTGCCCATTTTTGGCAAAAGAACCATCTTTATCATGTAGAGCTCATTACAAACAGATAAAGGGCCATATGCATATCTCTCTCTATATATATAATATGTATGTATATATTTTGGGCAAACTCATTGCATGATTCTTCTTCCGCCATTGCAGGAGAGAGTCAGATGTGTGTGTATATATATATTTATATATATGTATAAACAAAAAGGTTGTGTCACCTTGCAACTCATTTATATTATAATCCACATGTTGAATGTGTCAACTATAAAAAATATGTCATCCAAGAAAAGAAAAGAAAAAAAATTGGTTATTCTAATTTCCTTGCTTTCATCCACATCTACATGCACAATTTTTCTTCATCATACATCATAATTGGCAACTACATAGATGAAAAAGTTTACAAAATCCATTCACATTTTCTTCATTATACAACAATTATCCAAGAAAAAATTGATAAAAACTAATCCATAAAATCAAGCATGCAAACAAAAAAAAAAAAAAATCAATCATATGACAATATGGTCTCTATCGTCCCCGGGAGAAGCAGACTTGCTCTTAGAGGTAGAAAATGGCAATGAGGGTTGCAGAAAAGCCAAGCTTCCTGGTTGAGATTTCGTCGCGGAAGGCAATATGTTCAAGTAGCTTAAAGAGCATTTATTTGCAGCCTCCGTGGCTGGCGGCAAGTTGGCCACAGCCGGAAAGGCCTCACTCAGCTTCAAATTCTGACCAAATATATCTCCACTGCCTCTATCAACACCATTAATGATTGATTTCAGCGCGACTGCTAAAGCAGATTGGAAACTCGGGTCTGATGTGATTGCCTTAGTTGCAGCTGCAATAGTATCTGGTGGTAGAGACTGTTGAGAATTAGGGTTTGTACTCCTCTGTGTGTAGGGCTGATAAGAATTTGTTAGAGTTTGTCCTGCAAAGTTTAGGACACCAAATTGGTTCTTGTTGTAGGGTTGAGTAGTGTTTCCATAGTTTTGAACCGCATTGCTCCAAGATACCGGTGGAGGGTTGGATTCCAAAGAAGTGAAGTTGAGATTTGTGGAAGAATATTTTGGAGGGAAGCTTGGAGGTATTCTACTGAGATGAGATGAGGATGAAGTGGAAGAGGTTGAAGTGAGGTCAAGTGTGATTGTTGGGTATGAAGGTGTAGATGAGATTGAAGAGTTGGGTAGGTAGAATTGCTTTGAATTATCAGAGAGATAGAAGTTCATTCCATGAAGGTCAATGCCAGCTGATGGATTAGAGCCTGGCGCGGAGCTTGATGAGCCGGACATAAGCATGGATGCAGCTGCTGAAGTGGTGGAGGCCATGGCGGTGGCTGACATAGAAAGTGGATGGTTGTGTGTTCCTTCATAGGTAGTTATCAAGATGGTCATGTCCTCAGCAAATCTTTGCACCTATATATATAGTTTAGAGAGAAACATATCAGAGTAAATTCTTAAGGAGTAAAATTAGCTTAAATATTTGTTTTTAGAGCAAGTTTACTATGCGGGCGCTCTTGAAACGCATACACATTCACAATATTGTTCTTAATAGAACTCGAACACTCAACATTTCCTCTTTGAAAAGAGAGATCATACTATCTGATCGAGCTAATGCCCATTGGTGATTGATATGTTTATTGATTTTCCAAAATGGATCATAACTTAAATAGCATGTAATTAATCAATTAATACCTGCTTTCTCACAGGGCAGGATGGCGAAACAGTGCAACGATAGTATGCTCTAGGGCATGGATTTCCTTTTGAAGTCTTCTGTCCATATTTTCTCCATTGGCATCCGTCGTTCATCTGTATATAATTTTGAGAATTAGAACATTTTTATTGTTAATTCATGTTTTATCAGATAAAATAGATGCATAATATTTTAGAAGAAAATATTTTTTTCGGTAAGTTTTCAGAAGAACATATTAATTAAGCTTATTAACCCTTTACTTCATCAAGCATTTTAGCACAAACAGTAGGCCTCATTTTTTATTTTTTATTTTTACCCCAAAATCCAAAACTACCTGTCATGCATTCAATTTTTCCTTCACTTATCGAATTAATAATAATAAAAAAAAAAAATGCAATACTCCATTCAATAGTATGAATGAGTATGAAATGTACTAACCGTTGGAGTATCGCACCGAGCTCTCACAGAAACCCTAGCTCTCTTCACAGGGTTCTGTTGTGAAACATCATCATCTACAGCACTTCTCATTGTCTTAAGAATTTTCTGTGGTGGCCAAATGTCCTTGGCTTCTTCCTTCACTTCTTCTAAGCTATTCTCAGGACTTGGATTAATCAGTGAAGGCACTATTGATCCCATTTTAGACACTTCAAATTTGGAGTCCATGAGTCGGAGAGCTAATCCTTCTTTATATTTTTGATCAACTCCTTTACCTTTGCTAGGATTAATTCTGTATTTTTCATCCTTCTCATCTGCATCACTTGAAGTTCTTCCAAGAGTTAGGGAAACAAGTTTGCGCTCTTCGGTTTCTTGGTGAGTACTATTAGCTGTATTTGTGGAGCTTTTAGCTTCTTGCTGAACAATGCCATAGAATTGCATCTGAAGGTTCTTGTAGTCCTTCATAATTTGATCCAGGTGCATCCTCAGTCTTAGGTTTTCTTCTCTCACCTCGCCCATTTCGGCTTTCGTAGATTCAACCTGTCCATCCTGCATTTATACATTACAAGAAACTGCGCATTAGTACTAGCTAGGAGTCTTGTGAAGAAAATAACTTAATCAATAAAATGTGGTGTTCCATAATAATTAGTACTATATCTTAGGATAATCTTAATTATCTGTATTATTATTTTTGGAATCAGAAAGTGTAACAATATTTCCAAGAAATGGAGTATTCATCACCCTAGCTCCACTGAAATGGACGGGCAAGATTGCTTGGTACAATGGTAAATTAGTTCATGCTGACAAGCAAGAGAGTTGTGGTTCAAAATCTGACAAGTCACCACTTTATCATAAAGTTATAATTTGTATCACACTCTCAATTAATGATGATCACACTAATCAATGACTCTTTAAAATAATGACCTACTATCAAAAAATTGAAACCATGCACATTATTTCATGGACCAAAACTAAAAATATATTTAATTAATTTATCAAAGAGGAACACTAGCTACTAAATCATTTCAAGTTAATACACAAGAGGAAATTATTTTGAAAGGGTCAAACAAGATTTGAAATTATCAAGTAATTACATATGGTGCGCGATTAATTGTTTTCATGCTTAAGAAAAAAGATTGAAATGATTCTAACCTGATCCTCTTGGGCTGATGAGGAAGTTCTTGAGTTGGGTTCTGCTGATGATCTTTTTCTCTTTGTTATACTTGAAGGCACCTGTTTGAACATTGCAGTCAAAACCCCAACTAATAATTTAAAAAATAAAAACTGTATAAAAACTGTATAATTTAAAAAATAAAAACTGTATATATATAGTTGGTTTGTGCTATTTAAAACTGTTTTTTTTTTTTTTGAATGGTCTATTTAAAACTGTTTGTACATGTGATGGGATGAATATTTCTTACATGTAGAAGGTACTGTTTGTAGGATTATGGATTTTATTTCCTCAGCTCCTCTATATATGTAAAAGAAGGAATAATAATTTTCTTATGGTCTAACAATAATCAAGTCAAAAGCTGGCTGTAGATTTGAATTTCCTGAGATTGTTTGAATTTCCCAAAAAAAGAGAAGTCAAAATTTACACGTTTTTTTTTCGTTAAGTAAAATCTTCTAACACTTGTAGATCTAGAAATTAATTACATGCATGAGATATCACTATATTTAAACTGTGACTCCAAAAAAGAGAAAAGTAGGAAAATAGAACATGCAAGAAATTATTATTTTCTTTTATTTGCTTGCTTCAGATTAAATTCGTGTGTTCAGTTGATATTGGCTTCAAATTATCATTGTCATGCATGGTCTTTTCTTTCATTTCCTACCTGATCAAGCACATATTAAATATCTGGCTATGCAGTTTTTATTTTTATTTTTTATAATAATTATAAGATATCTATATACTATAACATGTGGTCCTCAATTTTAAAAAAAAGTTAATTGCATTCATTATGATTGTGATTTCTTGGAACACAAAAAAAAAAAATAGTCAAACAAGACAAGATTAAATAGAAGGCTACAATCTCTTGAAGAAGACTGTACATGTTATCGCCCATGTATTTTTAGCAATTATATATATATATATATATATATATATATATATATAAAACTCAATATGTCATATCCTTAACAACTTTGTTCTCAAGTCGCTCCACAATTCAATCAAAATTCAAAACTTCACAATTAAAAGATTGTAAATAGTGAATTACATCAGGGAAATTTTTTATTTTTATTTTTAAAATGTAGCATTTTCAATATTAAAATTAAAAATCCAATTATTTTTAATTTCATGTCATAAAAAAACCAGTTCATTAATTGAATAGCAAGCCAATGAAGAATATAATTCCTCCATATATGGAGATGTTTGATCTTGTTTTTCTAAGAAAAATCTTGAAAGATAAAGCAAAATATACATATATATATATAACTCACCTTAAGAACAATATTGTCATCTTTGCAGCTTTCTTCATCACCAATATTGGATTCCACTCTCTTCTCTTCCTCTGCAGCTGCTACATCTCCATGACCAGATTTTCTCAAAGCACCCTCCATCTCTCTCTCTAGATCTCTCTCTCTCTCTAACTTCTCTTTCTGATGTGAATTGTAGTAGCTACTTCTTGATCTCTTCTTATAAGGAGAGGCTGCTGAATTTGACTTGTTTAAACCAACACAAAATGTCAATGGTCTAATTGTAATCAAGCAAATTAACAATATGCAAATTATATTCTTATATATCCGTTATGTGCAATACACACACACACACACACATATATATATATGGGATATGAAGTTGAAGAATTCAACTTCAACGTTTAAGTCTTTTAGGTAACATGTTGAGCCGCAATAATCGGTCCCCACCGTAACTAAATAATTAAACTAATATATATATATATATATATATATATATATATATATCCATGAATTAAGTTTCTTACATTACAAAAGTCACATGCATGGGCAACCGGTCAAACTTGTGCCACCGTCCTAGTCCGATGACCGGAGTTTATATGATGGTCATTAATCATCCATGAAGGTCAACGTGGGTTTTAATACCCTAGATTTAGGTTGTCCATTATTATTTTTATACACACATATGGACTTCTATTCATATATTATTTTTAAAATAATATTGAACAAGTTAATGATACAGAATTCAAATTCGGACATATTTATTATGACATCATTTATTACTCACAAAAAAAAAAAATGTATCCTTACTTATTTACTACAATATCATTTTTCGTATTAGTATAAAAATAGTTTGTTAATCTAAGTGCACGAGTCTTTTGCCGTTATGAAAATTTGGGGAGGGTGAAATGTGAGCAATCTAACTAAGCTGTTTTTTAGTTTTTGTACGCACGTCTATTGATTGTTTGTCAAACTTGAACAAAGCTCAAGTTACTAAAACTGTTTAATTGATCATTGTAATTAATTAACTTCATGCATGAATTATTATTCCATGTTTTTCATTATTTGGGGTGCAAGAAAAAAGATTTGGACTTTGCTCTGATTAAATTTTCGGGACACCGCGCAAAACTTTCCCTCCACACTGGTCAAATAAATCTCGAACTTTCACCCATAGACGTGATCTTAAAAAATTATTTGCACTCAAAAAAATTTAAACCGTAGATATGATGCTTCATTCCTTCTTGGAGCTAATTATTTTTTAAAAAAAATTTAACCCTAATTATTTGGGCTCAAGAAAATTCTCGGGACACTGCGCAAAACTTCCCCCAAATCTCTTGCTCTATTGTTTCCCAACGGACCCTGCCATTGCCTGGCATCTTTTACTCGTTCCATTTAACTTCTAAGGATTCAGTCAATGCATGACATAAACGTTATATATTTGTTAGCAGTGTTCATAAGCATTACTAACTTGGACCAGATCGAATGTCAATTTAATTAATTTTGTGACCATTCAGTTAATCAAAGTATCAAACTTGTTAAGCCACCTCCTTTTATTTATTTATTTTTTTTTTGCAAACCATTTTTCTAATAAAACAAAGAATTCAACAAAAAGTTTCTATTCTTCGCTTATTGTATTTCTCAAAAATTAAACATTAAGAAATTACGTATTTTACTTGATGTTTGACACATCATTAATTCAATGGTCTAACACGAGAGACTTATTCTTAGGGCCAAAAAAATCCAGTTGGAGCATGTGTGTGTGTATATATATATATATATTGGAATTTTTTCAAAAATCTAGTAGCGGCTTATTTAGAATTTTAACAAAATTATAAATACGTAAAATAAATAAGAAACAAAATTCTAATGTATGTATGTATTGAGTAATTGTATACATGGACCATGCATGTGATGAAGGCCAAGTTCCAACTTTTCAACCGTTATTGTCAAATTCGGAATAGAGAGATTCACATGGCGGTGATAATTAAAACAGTTGGTGTCTTTGACCTTTTTTATTTATTTATAAAGGTGTCTTTGACCTTATTATGTTCTAAGACTTTTCATGTTCTACAACAGTTTGTGAAAAAGCTAGTGTTGAACTTTTATTGCTGTAGCCACATTTTAGGGCGCAACAATGTTTGCTGCCTACCCTATAAGGAGGTTCCTTCTATTCACGCTTGGTTTGGATATGGGGTAGAGTTTAAACGTTAAATTTTAGAACTTAACAAGTTTAAAGTGATTTTTTATGTCTATGCTAACATACTCAGGAGCTTATCCGATTCAAGGTGAAGAGACGCCATTTTTGAATTTTTGAAAATTAGTCGGGACGAAATCTCACGAATTATCAAAAAAAGAAAAGAAAAGAAGAGGTTCTCCTAATGGGTGATGGACCTAATAAAATGCTGACAAGTGTCTAAAAAATATATCTAAAATTAAAAAATTAAAAAAACATATTAGACCCATTTTTATCGGTTAACCAATTAAAACTCATCTGAAAAAATCATCTCTCAACCTCCATTCCAAAAAAAACCCTAATGCTCCTCCCCACCACCACTCTCGGCCACCAACAACACCACAGCCCCCTAGCTCTCTCCACCATGGCCCCCACCACTTCTTCCCACATCTCTATCGTTCCCTCTCCTCCAATCCGATTGCAGCATAGATCTATGTGTTATGTGAGGATGATGATGGGTACTGAGGTGACACCTGACTTGGATATTTCAACAGATTATTGGAAGTCTAAATCTTGATTTCGATCTTGATTTCAATCCTAAGAAGGACAATGCATGATTGTTATGTTTTGGTTTATAAGTATTATCTTAATCTAGATATAGTTATAATAAAATTATTAATTAATTTATTAGAAAATATGATCTAAGAAACACATTCTAAAAAGGTTGTGGTCAAAACTCAAGGTTTTCAACAGCCATATAATTAAGCTACACAAAATAATTAAAAAAATCATAGAAAAAACACGCAATTGGTTAGAGATGATTATTTATTATAAAATAAATATAAATAATTAGTAAGTTGTGGACTATTGAATTCATTATTTATAAATTGACTATTAGCTTTTATAAATGGGCGTTGTGACCATCACAAAATTGAGCATTCATGTGGGAAGTCAAATGCTAGGCTTTTAATCTCCAAGAGCCGCTAAATTAAATAATTTTATTGTTGTGTAACTATAATTCAGACTTTTTTATGCGATTGGCCACAAAATTAGCTTAATTAGGCTCATATCTATTCCCATTGAATTAAAAACTTGAATCAAGAGAAAGTAACTTGAAATTTGAAAGTTGGGCACAATATTTGGACTTTTCAAACATGAGAGTCCAATTTGGAGGCAAAGAACAACATGCCTAGACAAGATACGTCAACCACAAGAAAGTACAATACTTTACAGGTATATATTAGGCTGTCCTCTCGTCTACGGAACAATAATATATATAATACTTAGGAGTATAGAGATATTGGCAGAAATTCGGGAGATAAGTCCTTAACTTTCGAACCTTACTTTCGACTTAAATGGTACTTGGGGCCAATACATGTGCTCTAAGAATATATATATATATATATATATATATATATATATATATATATATTTAAAAAACTCTTCATTCCTCACAGACTTTTCATAATTATACTTTAGTCAGCGTATCGCGTATAAATATTTCGAAATATTGTATACTTTCTCATCGATCACAACCCACAAGTCCCATTTATGTTAGTAGCGGGGGTAAAAAATACATGTCATCGATGTCAAATAAGTAAAAGTGTAATTAGTTTAGTGGATCCTACCACTGCATGTCAGCAATATTTAATCCGTTAGTTATACATATCATCAACATACGAGTGGTATTAGAGTATTACTCGTTCCAAAAACCCTTCTTTTTTTTTTTCAGTAGCAAATATATAGTAGCTTCTTAATTTGCTCTATACCGGGCATTACTAAGTAATCTAGCTGATAACACCTAACTTCCCGAATGGGTGTGATCGTGTTCAAGTCTTCCCTTTCCTTGGTTTGTAATGATAAAAAAAAAAAAAAACAAATGAAAAATGTTCTACAGTATCTTTGAATTTGGGGTAGGAGCAAAAGGCACAAATTTTAAAATGCCCTGGTATACCAGGTTAATGAAAATAATTATAAGAGTTAGTTGAGAGCACTTTTAAAAATAAGTGGGACTAATTTAATAGAATGGTGTATTTTTATTGGCCAGACATACTAATATTGGTGTGGTATGCATGACGCACTGAATATAAGTAATGGAAAGGGAGAAACACTCGGAACAAATTTGCCATCCTTCAAAGTACGGTATCTGCAACATTTTAAATAGTCAAGAGGACAAATTGTAATACAGGGACAATTCACAAACATGTATAGTATAGGAAGATTTTTCACAAATAATCCCTTAGAAATATTAGAACCCTACTTGTTATTTCACAGCCCGGTTAACCGGTTGGATGTGAATATTAGAACAATTTGATCACTTTTTAAAGTATAGGGAATCTTTTGAAATAAGTTGGGGGTTTATAATCAAAATTTAAAAATAATGAAAGTTTTATGAAAGTGACCCCAAATAAAATTAAGTTTGTGTTCATGTCTCCTTGGAACAAATTATTTCCGTTAAACATTTTTTCATGAAAAAAATTTAATTACCGCTTCAAAATACTAGAACCCTACTTAAGTCGAATCTCCTCGGAACAAATTAATTGCTAAAAAATATTTTCTATGATTACAATTTTAATTTTAGGTTGCATGGGACCTCAAATAAATTTCATAAAATTCTCCGTATACTGGTCCAGGCTTCAAGGACACGAGAATTGCTTCACTGACTTGGACTTCAATGCATGATCTGACCAGTTAACACCAACTGGCTATTTAGTTGATTGTGTTAGCAAAGGCAAAAATTAGTTTGGAAAATTGAAATCATACCTGGATTTTTGAATCATGGTCAAAAGGTATTTTTCAAACTTTTAACCATGTGACCACGAGGTGTTCTCATTCAAGGGCAAAGTAAAAAATATACTTGCTTTTGACCACAGATCATTCCACAACGAGGCATGGGTAGTCAAAAGGTGAAATTGAAAAATCAACCATGGTGTTTTGCTGCTTAGTATATTAGTGAGTTACAAAGCATGGTTTATTTATTTTTGGTTTTAATATTAGGTATCCCCTTCTTTAGGGAGTATTTAATATTTATTATTATTATTATTTTTGGCGCCATTCTACTCCTTGGATGTGATAAGGCCCACTATCACATCCATGATCTAATGACTTCTGCTATCTTGAAGTACCATATTCCTAGATATTTAATACTTTCTCCCTCTTTAACTGACTGGACTACTATATATGTAGTGTTCATAATTCATTGAAAGAATCATAATCATAATACAAATTAGTTAATTTTTCTTTTTTTATGGGAAAGATTTTTCTACATCCATAATGTTACATCAACAATATCATCAATTAATTATATCTTGTCATATAAAAAAATATATATAATTATTTAATGGACCTATCATTACGTGTCAGAATTTAATTAGTTAGTGATAATATATCATCAATATTGCAATGACATAAAATTACTTCTCCAAAAGTTACTTGTACTTACCTTTGAGTGAGTAGGTGATTTCTAGTGAACGGTTGATGTAGTCCAATCACAAATGCACATATATAATCTGTTATTTTAAAATGAGGTAATTAATAAATAAGGAAAACATTTTTTCTCTTTTGGGAATAAATTCAGTCACCATGTGTTTTTCTTATTCATGGCTTTCTCGATTTTGTAATTTTAGACAATATGTGTACTTGTGATTGGATCACATTAACAATTGAAATTCCCAACACATCCGTGGATAGACCAGTATTGTTCTCTCCAAAATTATCTAAAAACTATCAAATTGAGAGTCAACCAAATGAACCCTCAAGTTGCTAATTAATCAATTGAACCTAACTATGGTTGACTTTACTCCACCAAGTCATAACTCAATTGATCCTATTTCAACTTCATCTTCTTCCCACTTGTTGAAGCCTAAGTCCTATTTTCATTCATTTATTCATTTCGGAGAGCCTTCACACCTCCTTGTGTCGTGTGTGGGTTGGAGAGTGGTTTAAACTTTAAACTCCTGAAGGAATTGAATACAAGAACTTTGAGTCGTGCTAAAAGACTTTATGCCAACTTAGTTATCTACATTATAACCATCACTTTTGATTGAATTTTTCTCTCTAATTTATGAATATGTCACGTTATTATTTTGTTTTAATTTATTTTTTGTGCAAAAATAACACGATAAATAGTTACACAAGTGATATTCGGTAAATAATTACACAAGTGATATTGTAACATGTTCATAATCGTTGACGATTTGAAGATGCTCAGAGAGGCCCCCATAGGCCAAACGGCGTTGGTAGGAATCCGGGAGATAAGTTTTTTGAGATCTCGCTTTTGAACCACACTCTTAATTTGAATGATGCGTGTGTTATGAGACCGATATATGTGTTATAAAGAAATAAAAAAATATCCTCGAAGAAAAAAATTAATAAAGAAAATCCATATCTGAAGCTTAATACCCTATTTCTTAGTGGTTGAGTCACAGATGGGCGTGGTCTAAAAGATTTACTATTTGTTTACATTTTTGGATTAGGAATATAAATATATATGTGTGTGTGTCTATATATATATATATATTTTTTTTTTTTTGGGGATAGGTCAAGAGGAATATCCTAGTATAAAAATACAGTGATGTATGCCAAAAGTTGTTCTCTTGAACAATTCAAACTGTACAATTGAATGTCAAATTTTTGTACTTCACTACTTTTAAATGGAACTTTTTTGAGACCAAACAAGCTATAATTAACTAACCCATTTGTGTATTCTAATTTTTTTTTTTTAGTTGTTTACGTATTATTGGGACCAAATTAGGAGTATTCTGGTCTTCCACGAACTGGGTGATTATAAGTCTTTTAGTCATTTTCAATTTCTTTATTAAAAGATTTTAATAAGAAAACGCAAGCCTATTCAATTAAGTAAATATTAGTCAATGTGTTGCATTTTCAAAGAGAATGGAAGGGATTTGAGTCCGGTGTGTGCAAAATGAGTTGTATTTCTTGTTAATATAAAAAATAAAAATAAAAATAAAAAATAAAAATGAAAAAGAAAAAACCACTTATGTCAAGTGAATATTATAATCAAACACACAAATTGTTTTGACTTTGGAAAACAAATTCGTAAACTTCTTTCTTTTTTTTTATTTTTTTTGCCTCTCTCGAAGTTGAAGCAATTGTATAGATATGAAAATATACAATATGGTTGCAGGTACAAGAGCATGGCCCAAACCAGAACAGCCCATTGGGCTAAAACAACTAAACAATAGAAAAGACCAAGAAGTCTGAAAATAAGGTCTAGGCCCAAACCAGGGGAATTAGGACACAAAAAAAAACAGAGAAAAAACACACACACACACACAGTAGTAAAACAAAAAATTGGACCATCATAGTTTTGGTCACTCAAGCCCATCCACCAGGTGTTAGGTTCTAAACTCTAACCCTTCAGTCCCAGATCACTCACTCTGGCACAGAACTTGTCATCTTAGGTCTTAAAAGTTCTCCGCCGTCGCCGCTCGCCGCTCGCCGCTCGCCGCCGTCACCGCTCGCCGCTCGCCGCCGTCACCATCACCGCGTCTCTGTAACAACTGAGGTCTGATCTTTCACTTCACCTGTTTGTTTTCCGAGAAAATTTTCTAATTTTAGGCCAAAGTTCGAGTTCTCTATGTCTCTGCTTGAAGTCATCACGAAGGCTTCGGCCAATCCCTCACCGCTCACTTCTCAATCAGACTACCCAATCATTCTCAACTCAAAACCCATTTTGCTCAACTTAAAGGCTCAAAATGAATACCCAAAAGACACATCGCTTGTAAAACGAGTTGAGGGTTGGGAAATTTCGCAAGTTGATACTGAAATCATGGAGTTAGGGAAGAATTTCCTTAAACTGTTAAAAAGAAAGCTCAAAAACCCTAATTTCAATAGGGATGAGTTTATTGGGATGTTGAATTCTTATATGGAGAAAAATAGAGAGAAATTAGGAATGTCACTTCGGCTCAATCCGTCAGATGAGAAGTATACTCGTGAACTGATTGAGAAGCTAGGGTTTTGTATGGGTCCAGAGGTAGTGGGTTTGGTTTTGGAGGCGTGTATTGCTTTTGAGGTTTGGGAGCTGGTAGAAACCCTAATAGTTCATGGGGTTGTTGAGCATTCGTGTTCGTCGAATTTGGTTTATAATTTAATTGAGAAGAAGAAGTCGGATTTGGTTTGTTTGTGTCTCAAGCATGTGTCGGATCTTCAAGCGTCTGATATACTTTGCATTTTGAAATACTTTCTTTCACCGCCTAAAGATGCCTATAAAAGTATGGTTAGTGTGAGGCAGGAATGGGAGGGCCAAGCATTAATGGCCATAGAGAAGGTGACAGACAAAAGTCTTTCTGGGAAGAAGTCGTGCTTGGCGAAGGAGGCCTCAATTTTACTTATGGTGGCACATGATGAGTTTTCTCTTCCAGAGTTGTGCTTGCATTTTTTGCTAGCCTCTTCAAATCTTGATGTACTGATACTGTCATCTTGTGTTAGCAAGTTGAATGGCTCGGAGATGATGGGTTTGATTCGATATTTGGGGAAGTGGTTGAAGAAGTATGAAAAGTTTCCTCAGGCTAGTCCTTGTCTGAAAGCCTCATCTGTGTTGGGGTTGAAAGCTTGTGAATTTATCCCTACGCTTGAAAGCATTGTAAAGTGTCTTGGGTTGGTGCTGGATGAGCATTTTTCTTCACTGGTCTTGCATCCAGAATTTCATGAAGAGCTGAGAGCTATAGCGGGACTTACTAATTCATTAACCTCAGAGGCAAGACTTTGTTGTTCTGTGGCAAATGTAATTGAGAATTTGAGAACCGAGCTTTAAAGGTGCGTAATATGAACTTGGACTCATTTCTATTGTGGCATCATGCTGCCTATTCATGTTTCTATTGTAAAATTAAGCACAATCTTAATAGTCAGTGTAATTTAAACATTTGAAATTAGTTTAACTATCTAAGGTTTAAATTGACCAAATACTTTACTATGTCCATGTATGAAAACTCGTGATCACTCTGTTCATTTTAGTGCCCATTTTTTAGATAGCAATTTTAATTATTTCCATCTTTGGTCATTATAGTGACTATTCTTCTCTAAATCAATTGCTTGTTGCTTTGGTGGAAGTGGTTGTGAATTTTGGACTCTAGTTATGGTTGAGAGAAATACATCTGAGGTGGAAATAGTTTAGTGAGTGGCTTGAGATGCTCAAGTAAAAGAAAATTTGGAGGGCACATGGACTGTTGATAAATTTAGTAGGGTAGGGGACTGTAAAAAAAGTCCTTTTTTTTTCCCCCCCTATACATTGTAATGCAAATAATGTCTTTTTCCAATATGAACTTTTGGGGTTGATGAAATTTGGTTTTTATAAATAGCTACGGCAAAGTTCAAATACACCATTACGTTATAAAATAATTTATTCTGTAGGGAAAGAGGTAGGGGTGAATTCTCCCTTCAATTCAAGAAAAGGGCTTTTTAGAAGTTCTCTTACTTCATACAATCACCAAAAATCAGTTTATTAGTTTTGCATTATATTTATATCTAAAGAGTCTGTTAATAACATAGGTTGTCCACTATAGCAGAATCAGAGAAATTTGTTAAACTGTAATCTCTGGGTAAAACAAGATTGTAATTCTTACGAAATATTGCATCCTTATTTGTTAAACTGTAATCTCTGGGTAAAACAAGGTTGTAATTCTTACGAAATATTGCATCCTTATGTAGTAGTAAATTCTAGAAGTTTGCTTTAGAAACTGACTCTGTTATTTTAAAAATGATTTCTATATAGATTTCTTAATGTTAATTGATTTCCATTATATTTTATATGACCAATAATTAGTTGCAACACAGTCCTTAAGAGTCCACTACACCTGGCTATGAGTTTGCTATCAGCTAGGATGGAGACATGATTCGTCTAAGAAATACATTTGGTGGGAAGCTACCTTTTTGCACCTCTTTGCTACCAATTGGGTTACCACAAATAAAGCCTTCAATTTTATCATTTTTAACGCAGCTACAGCAAATACTTTGTTTCATATGATGCTCCTGTGCTGTCATTTTCTTGTCTGTCGCAGGATTATTGGGTATATTATTAATCTAACACATCTTCAACTGGCTCTATGCCAATTTTCACTCATGGATTTAGTTAATGATGTGTGAAATTTTAGATATTCAAGTCTAGTTGTATTAGTTTCTGCTCTTCTTTCTTTCAATCTATATTTTCTATAATATCAGTCATAAAACCTCTTTTTTATGCATTAAAAAAAGCTGATATATTTGATAGCATTGGAGTAATTAACAAGTTGGTAATGCTTATATAAAGCAAGGAAAACAAGAATGTGTTTTAGATGTGTGTTCACATAAATATTCAGGCTATTTGAAGTTAAGTCTTGAGCTTAGCATACTTTTGTCATTACTTGGCTACTGAGTTCTCAAGTTGAGTATGAATCGTATGATCATGGGCATGCCAATGATCCAAGGAATTTAGTGTGTAGGATTCCGAAGAATCCGAACCAAAATATTCACATAGCTTGAGGCTCGGTATTACTTGATTAAGAGATGTGGGGACTGAGGAATGCCCCCTTAAGCTGATTCTGTATAAAATGTGATATTTTTATTATATTATTTTGGAAAATTGCAATTATATTGAGCTAAGAAGAATGAATAAACCTTACTATTGATGAATTGCTGATTACAATTATAGAGATTGATACTGCATTAAGGCTAAGATTACGAGTAAGACTAGGTTATTGCTGTTGTTACACATAACTGAAACATAGATAAAGAAAATGTCTGGAGTTGTATTGGAGCAATTTTAATGGTGCCTGCTGGCTTTGGCAGTTTCTTGTCTATGCATAACTACCTCATCATAGTATGCAAGTGTTTTCATGGTGTCATTTTACTTTTCCACTAATAGTAACCGCCCGTGTGGCCAATGGAGGAATGCTCACATTCTCTGATAATTTTCTTGTCGTTCTCTTCATTTCCTATGTGTCCTTCCTGAAAGCAAATATTGGTTTTGTCCTGACTACCCAAGATCAATTTACAAGTCTTTCTATACTAGACTTTACAAAATTGGTCTGTTGCAAAAATAATTTTTGGGTATAGTCTATAGACATTGTTCTATATTCCTTCAAACAATGTGTAATAAGGCCTGCGGACCAGCATTTTGGGTGCAAACAGTTTAACTAATTACTAAGTCATATTTTACATGATTCTGAACTTACAAAATATAGTTTTGAACTTGACTTCAACTTCTGCATTAATCACTTTAGTAGTGGAAATGAACTTGTAGGCTTTTCGAAGCTCAATTCTATAGTCATATATGAATGTTGCAGCAGCAACAGAAGATGGAGAAACAGATGCAAAGGCAAAATTGGGATGATACTAATTGTTTAAGAGAAGTATATTAGGACCACATGGATTCATGGAAGGGAGAACAACTAACTGTAAATATATGTTTTTTCCACAAATAATTAAATTAGATCTTGTTAATCACCACAACTTCTCCCAAGTGATCATGCTCTGCAGCATTGAAAAATTGGATCTGTCATGAAACTGAGTCGGCATAGAAAAATTGGATCTCTCGTGCCACTCCTGCATATATGGCTTAATTTATTGGGGCAAGTGAGCGGACTTGGCCTCTGTTCAGGTGCAATCAAGGTTCAGATTACGGAGTCGTCTTGATCTCACTGGCTCTGATCCAACAAAGATACGCTACATTATTTAAGTGATACAATGTTGTCTTGTTAAGTATCAAGCAATCAATTGCTAGTATTACCAGATTCATTGGCTGATCGTGCAACCTCATAAAACTTATCTCAATATCACAAGCCTTTAATTTTCAGAACATGTTATTTTCACTGGAAATGATTGCCACTCGATGCATTTGTTCAAATTAGTATCCCAATCTCTCACTTATCTGTATTGCCTCCCAAAACCCATTTAGTCTCTCTCATTCTCTCCTCTCTTTCACTCTCTTCTCCAGCCATCAAAGTCTTTCTTTTTCCAGTCGTCAAACACATCACGATGAGAATTTTCCATCCATTCAGGAACAAGGAGCTGTAATTTATTCTTTGGCAGCTAAAATAGGATTGGTATTTACTCCTGAGAATGGGATGGTGATGAGTTTAGCTTGTCTTAGGTCTCGGGTGGGGGTTAGGTAGCAAACGGAAAATTTTAACATCCTCGGATCCTGGAATTTTAGTATCCATTTTGAATCATCATTTTGTTGAACAATATCAGGGTTAAGACGTATTTCCTATTACTTGGATTGTTAGATATTCAGGTTGCAAGCTGGATTTATGAATGGAAAGGACCTAGGTAACATAGATTGGACAGAGTGGAAGACATACACTCACTTCCCTACCCTCCTCTAAGACGTTTAGAACTTAAATATTTGACATGCTTTGTTTTTCCTCAATGGGTTTTCTTTACTTTTTGGGACCATTCTTGCCTATATATTTGGTACTCGTGACCCTATAATTGTTTCGAAGGACTAACATAACATCACAGAGTAAATTCAAGCATGTTGTGGTGTTCTTTTTCATGGTCATGTTTGAGTACAGGAAATTATTTTCTTTTTCAAAGGACGCATGTAGATATTTTGTTGTGTTATTGAATTTGTCGGCAGAAATTCCTTTGATTCTGTTTTTGGTTTTACAGTTTTGGTTTCTTAGGTAAAGTATGCTTTGTAATCTTTTTTGCCACAACAATCCTTTTTTTTTCTTTTTTTTTTTTAAATTAAATTGTGAATTATATATTTATATCCAAATGAACAATATTTTGCAGGCTAACCATCTGTCAAGCTTTTAAGAAACATGACTTGGTAGTTGAAGAAAAGGCGAATAGTTCTTTGGAGATTTTCAACCGCTCTCATCGTGGACCTGGCAGTTTTGGCATGGTAGGAACATTTAGCAGAAAGGTTTTTGGTGAAGCAATCACCTAGTGTTTTACAATGTAACTTATTTGGATTCTCCTTTTCTATTCCATGTAAGATCGATTATGTTTTTGACGAATTTTGAAGTTTTCCTCTCCCTCATCCCCATGGTAAGAGTTACCTAGGATTCTATAATTTTTCTTGGTGAAAGTTTGACATTTTTTAAGTCTAAATTCCAGCATCCAAGAGCACTCTATCGGTACACGACAAAGTCTACATAACATCTTCATTCTTGTGTTTTTCTTCTTAGTACCTCAGTTGGTGCTATAATGGGCCAAGCCTTTGTCTTGTTTATGCCTCTAGAGTAGCAACATCCTTGGGGATTAAAATCTTTTGGTTAGTTTGATTGTAATTTTGTTTAATTTTGGTTTATAAAAATCTGTCTGAGAAGCTTATAAATTTTATATAAAATCTTCCAATTTTTTTTTTTTTCATATTACTCGGTACTAAAGTTATTTTGATCCTTGTACTCTTTGATGAGGGTATCCCTATTATTGGATTTTCAAGAGAATTTATTAATGCTATGTAGGGGTGAATGGAATTGAAATATTAGTCTTGAAATTAAATTTGAAATTGGAGAAATATTAGTTTAAATTTAAACTAAATTTTCTTTCATTCCAATTTTTAGAACACCAATTCATGAAACTGAACATTGTCCAAAGGAAATTCAAAAATTTTCCCTTAACTTTTTTTACTCAAGAATTTTTTTGAAGAGAACTTCCAAATAAGGCCTGACAACAAACAGGTTAGGTTTACGGCCATCACGGATTTAAAACGCGTTGAGCAGGTGGCACCGGTAGGCTACCACACTGGGCAAGCTACAAGTGCACAATTCCACATCGCCTGAGTGTGGATGGGGCAAGTGTTATAAGTAGATTCAACACCGTTCTATGACGCAACGCGTTTTAAAGCCGTGATGGCTATGAACCTACCAAAACTTTAGAGATAAACATGTTTAACCTGGACTAGTACCAGGTTGGGTGACCCCTGGGACGTTTCTGTAATGTGTCCAATTTTCGTCATTTTTCAATTTTTGGAATTTTTCGTTTTTGCAGTGGCATTCTTGTCTTTTCTCGTTTTGCATGCCGGACATCGTGGAGTGTGTCAGTTGTGTTCGAGAGTTGGTTGGGATATTTCATTGAGTCCAGGACTATTTGAAATGCCAGGGTTGCTATTTCGGCATTTTTTTATTTTTCGAGCCGAACGGTCCCGTGTGGGACCTACTACCGAAATTGTCGTATACGGGGTGTTGTTTAGGTCCATTTGCATCACATTTATTTTATTCAATGTGTTATATGTGGTTGTGGATTATTAAATGTGTATGTATATATAATTGTGGTTGAAATTTTTTTTTTTAGAAAAAAGGGGAAAAGATAATATAAATGGTGGGACCCACTTTAATTTTGAAAAAGGAAGACCATTTTTGGCCACATTTTCCTCATTTCACTCTCTCTCTCTCTCTCCCTCCCTCCCGTAAGTCTCTCTCTTTCTCCTATTTCTAGAGTTTTTCTTTTTCTTTTGGTTTCAATCTTTATACTTAGATTTCTCCCTCAATTTTTGGTATTTTTGGGAGCCGTTTGCGGCAAAACGGAGTGCGCATTGAGATCTTCGATTTGATCGGAGCAAAGGTGGTTTTGGTGCACCCTAAGAATTTCGAATTCTAGGGTTTGGATTGGGCAACTTGGGAGTTTTTGCATATTTTGAGGTAGGGGTCTCTAATTCATGTTTTCTTGTGCCTTTATGAGTTAATTCCTTATTTATTGTTGCTAGCATGTTTAATTGGTGTTGACTACCCCTAAAATGATTTAATTGTAGTGTACTAAGTTCATGATTTTGTGTATTAGTTGATTTGTATGAAAAACATGTCTAAGTGTTAATTTTCTATATCTATTATGTTGTTAACTTACTAGAAATGCTATATGAAAACATGTGTAATTTTCTTAGAATTTCTTGTAAAGCATGCTCATTGTCATAGCAGTAAAAGTATGAGACACACATGCATATCATTGAGCATGAATGAAGGGAAATGATTTAAAGTGAAAAAAAAAAAAAAAAAAAAAGAAAAAAAAAAGAGGATTTTCGGGAAGAATTTTTGATAAAATGGTTTTGAGAAAACCCGGTCGTCGCGGAGTTACCAAAGGACCATGATGTTAATATAACCTAGAGGGAACTAAGGAAACACCCTAGCGTGGTTGAGCTATCTGGGATGCAAATGACGCCGCGGGGGTACCAAAGGTCAGGGACAGTAGCCAATCCTTCTCTTGTGTCGCTGCGAAGTCACCAACGGACGGGTTATATTAACAGTTTGAAAAGTGATGGATTTAGATTTTGAAAATGGGGAGCGACATACATGGCACTGCATTTCATGGCATGAATTTGTTTCATTATGACTCGAGCTTGTATTGTATTTTTTTTCTCCGGCATAGTATGATCCCTTTGCCATTTTTTTATTCATTATTTGGATTCATATGGTCACAAAAGGTGTGTCTTAGGCACCACCTACTGAGCAATTTGCTCACCATATTATATTTACCATTTTTCAGGGCTCGGAAATGAGGTAGTGGACGCCGACCCTTCCCAACGTTAAGGAGGAGTAAAAATTCACTTTTGACATCTTTTGCGTAATTGCCACCCTTTTGTAAAGTCTCAAACCTGTGTAAAGTGTATTAGTTTTGAAAATCATGGCCATGTATTGTATCTATAACTCTTAATGGTATTTTGATGCAAATTGAGACTCTGAAAATTTTATCATGATGAACGGGGAATGAAGTGTATTTTAACCGATTATAGATGTCTTTGAACCGTATTACATTATAAACCTTCGCCGTGAATTCGAAACTTGATTGCGTAACAGGTCCAGTATAGGTTTGGTTCATGATGTGCACAGTTAGAGGCCATTCCAGAGAGCTCAGGGGTGTGAAGCCTTGTTTCGGCCGGCTGAACCTCACCATCGGCCAACTAAAGCCCTAGGTTCGGCCGACCGAACCCCCTCCACTAGTCGACCGACAGGCTATTTTGGAAAGTCCCGAGAGCATGCAACTTTCGTAATCGTTTCAGCCGGCCGACCATGTAGGTCAGTTGACCGATCCTGCCTTGTCAGCCAGCCGACCAAGGGCTATCAGCCAGCTATCCCTTCCTCTTTGACCTGTATCATTTAACCACTCTAAAAAACTGTATTCTTAGAATATTTTGGACCCTGGACTGACCCATGCGTCACATATTGACGTAGGAAGTGACAATGTTGTCTTTAGTTGACCTCGGGTTCGGTTAAGGACCTAGCTAACGGTTCGGACCCACGGGTTCTGGTTGTTACAGTCTCTGGTCCGGGGAGCCAAAATCGGACAATAATGGTATCAAAGCCTGACCCAGCCGGAAGTGTGGCCAACAGGGACGTTGGCCCCAAAGGAGGGGTGATTGTGGCGACCTTGTAGGCGGGTGCGAGGCACTAGCAGGCTACCACACTAGGCGAGCTACGGGTGCACAATCCCACATTGTTTGAGTAAGGGAAATATGAAGTGCTTATAATATGGTGGTGTTATCTCCAATTAGTATGAAGTCTTTTAGGGTAAAGCCCAAGAACAAAACTGTGCGGGTTCGGGCCCAAAGCGGATAATATCATACCATGTGGTGTAGTGGGTTGTTACAAATGGTATCAAAGCCTGACCGAGCCTGAAGTGTGGCCAACGAAGACGTTGGTCCCCAAAGGGGGTGATTGTGGTGACCTTGTAGGCGAGTGTGTGTGACCGTGTCCAGGTGGCACCAGTAGACTACCACACTGGGCGAGTTATAGGTGCATAATCCCACATCGCTTGGGTGTGGATGGGGCAAGTGCTATATGTAGATTCAACACCCTTCTATAATACAACACGTTTTAAAGCTGTGATGGCCTTGAACTTACCAGAACCCCAGAGTTAAGTATGTTTAACCTGGAGTAGTACTAGGATGGGTGACCTTGGAAAGTCTCTGATCCAGGGGAGCCAAAAGTGGACAACATTGTATCTGGCTAGGGTGAGGGTCGTTATAAAGCACAACCTCCTTCTTTCTCCTTTGGTCTTGGTTCAATTCTCTCTCAAACCCTCACAATTACTCTCTTTGTTTGCACAAACCAAATACACTCTTAATGTAACAAACACACACACACACACACACACACACACATATATATATATATATAACATTAATCCTAATACAAGTTAGACAACTAAATAAAATATAATAATAATAATATTACATATAATACAACAATAAATTAACACATGACAAATAGATTACATTATAAATGAATTTACAATTCAAATCCACATAATAAATTAAACAATTAAATAACCGATTAAATAAAATAAATAATTGGACAATAAAACAATTAGCACAATAAAAATTAAACAAACACAAATAGCCAATCAAATCAAATAAAGCAATAAAATAAAATAAAATAAATCCTTTAAAAATTAGGGATATTACAGTAAAAATCTCAAAGAATTGGTCCATTCGTTTAGTTAGTTCATGAACAACCGTTACCATTGGACTAATGGAATTAGACATGTGTCCTTGAACTCGAGATGCCATGTCATCTAAATATCCCAACTTAAATTGATTGTTATATAATGGGGCCATCTTTTGGCCTTGTTCCTTGGGATATAAATGGTCATTGTACTCTTGATCAGCCATTATTCTTGAGTTTAAAAAAGATCTTAGTAATGTTGTTTATGAATGAATTATAAGCATATATTACTTGGACGAACTAGTTCGAAGTAAGGTAGTTCTTAGCAACAAATGGTCTCATTAGGCGTGTCAAAAAATGTTTAGCTGGAAGGTGTGGTGGCGGACTACCATTTAGCAGAGGACTACGTGTCAACCTCGGCATAGGGCTTATGCGCTGGCGTGCCCAAACCGTAGCCAGTCCGGTGCTTTTGTAGTGGGTATAGATGAGAGTCCACCCGTTCTGTAGCTAAGCAAAGTTTCTGATGTCGTATGGCCATGGGGCATACAGACTTCTTATTGCACCTTATTTGACCTAAGTGACTACGGGGAGTAGAAAATGGTCCTCCCAAAGGTCCTTTCTCTCTATGGCCTTACTCTAGGGCTCTGTTGCTAAGTTTGGTTGGTTTGTTTTTAGAAGTTTCTATATATGTGGACAAGGGACGGAAATAAGGTATCATTTGGCATCAAAGACAAGCAATC